CTGAAGATGCTGGCCACAGAGACTGGCAAAACGTTAGGAAGAACAACCTTCAGAACATGGCCAAAGAGCCCGAAAAACCCACAATAACCATTTTGAGACACAGTTTAATATGACTTAAATCTTCTTAGGTTTCTGTTTCATCTTTGACTTTTTTGAGTTGGTTAGCATCTGAATGGGTAGATTTTTAAAATATTTCTTTTGAAGTAAGGATAAGATTAATTGTGGAATGGAGGACAAACTCGAGTGCCAATGCTGATTTCAATGTAGTTGGTCTGTCTTTGGATTTGAGAGCATGTGTTAGCTGGATGACTTTGACTGCCTGGGATGGCATATCTGCTGAGGTAGATTAAGACTGCCTCCATAAGCCCTTCCTTGGATAGAGTATTGCACTGAGGCCACTGTCTGCTTTGATATGGTGTCTACTACTTAGAGGGTTTTCTCTCACAAGTAAAACTTCAGCCAAGACTGCCTATTCTTGATGGCTACTTTTGTACATTATTTACAAATCTGGCAGTTTTGAATTTAGTTCCCCTCACTCACTATAGGCACCCAGTGATGGATATTTTGTTAGTCCAAGAAACATACTTTCTAAACAGGCCCACTGGGACCATAAAAGGCAGGAAAGGCCTCAAATGCAATAATAATGGTATTTTTTAAAATACAGAAACTCACAACAACAACAAACTAAGGATGAACGACTAAGAAATACATAAGTACTATTTATAAATTAATATTGAAAACTGCTCCAGAAAGATCCAAAGGTATTATCTCAGTGGCAGCTGAGAGGAAGCTGAGGATCAGCTTATAGGGGTGGAGAGCCTGTTCTACAGAGAGGGTGGGATTTAATGGAATTTTAGGCTCTGGAATGTTGTGAAGATGTCCACACAGGCTCAGAAGGAACCCCCATTGTGTGAATCACAGATGACCACTTGAAGAACTGCAATGGGCTTTTTTGTTAATACAAAGGATAAATAAAAACAGGTAAATATTTATCCCTTTGTATTCATGGGCGTGTCTGGAACCCGCAAATACGGATCGATGAATATTTAATGAATCGGCTATATTCATCAGAAAAACCAATCCCTTTTTATATTTGTCCCCATCTTTACTTTAGAAGCATTGACTATGGGTAGAATCCTATTTGGTTTTTACTGCCAGTTCATCGGGCAAACAGTTGTTTTTCCTCAATGTTTGTGAACAGGGATATTCCCTACACTTTTCTGCACATGGAAGCATTGTTGCTTCAATGAAGTGATCACTGGCTCTTGCAACCTCTACGTAAGTGATTGCATGGAGCATTTAGTCTGCAGGGCATAATGCTCTATGCTTCTTCAATGGAGTCTGGCCCAAATTTTACAATTAAAAGAGAAGTAGAAGGAACTGTCATAATCACAAATATATATATAAGCTCTCCACACATCCTGTCTAGCTTTGTATTGTGAATTGATCTGTGCTGCATCTAATAGAATTTGAGCTTTGGTCTTTCTATCTGGAAGCAACAAATTTCTGTGTGAATTATTATTAACACCCCTTTTTTCAGTGAGAAGCAAAAAGACATAAACACTGAAGATTAGAAAACATTAGATCTGCAGAGAAGAAACAATAACAACAAGCAAATCCAGAAGGCAGTGGACCCACTGTAATCCCACAGGTATTTTTCTTTCCTTTCACTTTAAACTAATTGTTTGTCTAATCCTTCTTGAAAGCCTGTATGGCCCAGGAGAGTATGAGGGAAGACCAGAAAAGGAGAGTGCGCCATCTCCTCCAAAAGGGGAAAGTGAGCCTGTAGAATTAAAAGAAAACTTAACAGAGGTGAAAACAGAGATAAAGAGAGAAGAAAGGGTTAAAACAGAGGTGTGTTTGGTAGAGGAGGGGAAGGGGAAAGAGGAGGAGCTACAGCTCCCAGTTTGGGAGGAGGATATAAGGGGAGAGGGGGAACGATTTGGTAGAGGAGGGGAAGGGGAAAGAGGAGCAGCTATAGCTCCCAGTTTGGGAGGAGGATATAAGAGGAGAGGGGGAACGACAGTGTAGTATCTCGGGAGAGTTGTTGAAAGGGGAATGAGAAGGGAATATGAGTGCACCAGTGATCTGCTGAAGGACTTCCCAAATCTAAAAGTGGGAGGATTGTTGCCAGATCCAGAGCAGAATAAAGAGGGAGTCATTGTTACCAAGACTCCCAAATGGACTGTGGTGGTCTTTCTGAGGGGTTGTGGCCACTGGAAGAAGGTGCTACGCCCAGACCCCACCTACAACTGACCACCACCCAAGGGGATTGGGCTCGACACTCCTGCTGTGGCATGGTGTGCGCCGTGAGGAGTGCTCCGCTACGGAAGATGATGGACAAAGAATGTTTTGGACCAGCACCCCATTATTAAAGGACAATGGGCGCGCGAATATATCTGTTGAGATAAGTGGGCATTTGCCTGAGTTAACTTACATGGATCCACCCAAAGTTGTTGTTGATTACCCTAAAGTTGTCCCAAATAATTCCGTTAATAATCTGAAGGAGTCTACAAGTCATTTTCCCGCGCAAAACTCAGAGCTATAAACATTTTTGAAGAACCCAATCACAGAGAGTAAAAACCTATATTTTAAAAATAAAATACCTTGACTTAATGTTAATATAGTTGTTGACTCCACCAACGATCACCTAATATTCTGTACCCCTAGTATTCTGTTTTTAAATTGGCTGTTAGAGTTAACCATCTGTTGAAATGCTATAAGAAGAAAAAAAAGGATGAAGAATTTTGTAGGTACAATAGTCCCTGAAAAAGTGTAACTGAGATGCTCCCTTCCAGCTCATCGATTAGCCATAATTATGTGCACCAAGTTATACAAATTTAAAATGAAAATGGATAAAATACATACAGTTGAATGTGTTCAAAAATGCGTTACTCAGTGGGGAAAATGTGTGAGTTAATTAAAATGTGTAAATGGAAATTGACCAACTGGGATTGGTAAACTTTTAAGATTATAAAGCATTTTACCTATTAATAATCTTACCACTAATAAAAATCAGCACCAAAGTACAGGTAGCTCATTCCTTCTGAATAGTATGTCTAGCTGGGAACTCTCCGTGGCTAAAATCCTGTTCAACCCGATGTAATGTAAAGTTATACCAGTGCAAGAAGTCCAGATTGCGCAATCGACTGTGTGACTCGTTTTGCCTGCTGCGCAGCATGCATGCAGAAGTGCTTTGTGAACAGCACTTTCATCCTGCTGCACCTTCCCTAACATGGTTGCCGATGTACAGGTGTGCAACAGGATTTGAGGTAATATATTTTATTGCATACAGCACTGCTAACCTATCTCCAGCAGCCTTGGGCAAGCATTTGTACACTCACCTTGAAGTTGCCCTCCATTTTCACCAGCTGAGCTTAAACTGAGCCGTTCAGAAATCTGCCCTTCACCTCCTAGGTCTTCACTGGGGTCAGTATTTTCTTTCCTTGTTGCTGGGATACTGCATTCATTAGTGCAATCTGTTTTTTCTTGATCGAGGGAAGTGCAATCCACAGGAGAGTCTGATGGATTTTTGTCACTTTTTAGTTCTCTGGAGCTGTTGCTTGTAGAAGTTACAGCACTGATGCTTTTGGAGTTCATCTGGGAAACATACTGCGGTATGAGTCCAACAAACCTCAAGCCCCGACTTGCTGCATCTTGAATCTATAAAATCAAGATAGATTACATTTTAATTTACAAGTTGTCTTACAGGAACAGAAGTGTTTCAAATGTACCACATGTCGGATGAACTACAGTTATTTTGTTTTTTTTTTAAAATACAGAGTAATAAATGTCTCACTGCAGTTGTATGCTGCATTCCAAGAAAGCATATGGGCAAACATTCCTTAAAAAATGAAAATAAAAGATTTTTAAAAATCTCTACTTACATAACATTATGCGATATATAGTACTGTTAAGTGCAAACAGCATGTTCCTGCTTTATCAAAAGCAAGAAGAAACTGGAAATATCCAGTGGATTAAAATATGAAGGAGAGACAAAATTTCAGGATGTTAAGAATATGGGTTTAATTACACTTTTAAAACTGCCTTTATAAATTCACTATATTTGTTTAATAGCTTCCAGCATGTGGAAAATTGGATTTTTCATGAAAGTCAGTGTCATTTCTCTCAGATTTTTAATCTATTCCCAAACTAATTTGCACCTATTTTTAATTTTTTTAAAGTAACCAATAGACCATTACTACATCTTGTTGCAGTGAATTCCACCATTTTAAATATGCACACGGTGAAGCACTTCCTTTCATCTGTCCCTCTAACAAATCTTGGTGTAGGGAAGAGATGTCTGAGAAAACAAAAGCAGAATGAACAAAGGAATATATAGTAGAGACATAAAGGAGGTTGCTCTGTTAGTCTGCTGGAGAAAAAACAATCAATAAAGAGTCCTGTGGCACCTTTAACATGTTTTATTTGCCATAAGCTTTTCCAGACCTCAGTCCACATCCTCAAATACATGGACTTTAGCCTTAGCAGACAGACATTTATATAATGCTCGGGGGGGACAGAAGATAAAACGTAACAAAAATGTAAGCAGTCTGGTCTGTTGATTGTCCATCAGTGGCTTTTAAGAGTTGTTGACAATCCTTGAGGATTTACACTTCATGGCAGGGAGATTAGAAACCAGAAGTTGCTCAAAGGATATGAGATGTCAATTTACTTGCTCCTGAATTATCTCCATGTCAAATTCTGGGATCTTCAATAATTTGTTTCTGATTTGTTGACCAGTAAGTGGTCTACCAGTAAGGAAAAGCTTCCTTCCTCTAACGATTGTTGATATTTAACTTCCATTACACTAGCTCATATCTCAAAAATTAAAATCTGGAGTTATTTTCCCATATGTGCAATTAATTGTGGGTTTTCACACAACACTGTAACTGAACATCTTCCTAATTTAAAACATTCTTGATCTGTTCTTCACATAACTACCATAAATCTTTCAGTAAGTGACAAAACTGCTTCATAAAGACTCGATCACGTCCCTATTGGTAGTGATGAAAAAAGAAATAGTCAATCGATAGAAAGATGTAGAAGAACTAGCTCTCAACAGATGATATCAATGCATTTGGGATTTGACTTTCCCAGAAAAAGTTGATACAAGAAATAAGTAAAGAACATGTAGTTTCAAATGAGTTTGAAATTCTGAATATCCTTTTACTTGTGACTGGTCAGAGGAACATAAATAAAGGTTTAATTTGCAAGTCCAACATCTGCTGCATGTACCTGAAGAAAATCTAATGTGAGAGGGGAAATGGGATTAATCAGATTAATTGTGAGGAATAAGTACTCTCTTTAACGTATGAGGAGTGCAGTATAGGGGAAGGGATGAAGCTGGAAAACAGTATTTCAAGAACATTCTCCAAGCTTCTACAAATTGGTTGTCTCTCTGCTGTACAAAAAAAGTTGCATAAATTTTAATGGATTAATAGTTATGCCATTTCAATTATTTTATTGTTCAATTTGCCTTCACCTTGTTTTTTTAATTTACATTTAATAAAGTATTTAAGATGCCTTGTTTGCTATTCTGCAGTTGGAAAACAAGATAAAAATTTGATGATGATAATGATGAGTGAAACAAGGTAACATGGAAAAGACAATGTGCAGTTATTTATTCTGCAATGTAGACATAAGTATAAAATATGTATTTCAGAACTAATGGCCTGAGCAACCCGGACAATATTTACTTCAGTCAGACTTCCCTAGTAGGACGGATAACAGTTTGACTCCAATCCTGAACTTTCCTTCTTTACTAAAAGGGTATACTGTATATACTCGAGTATAAGCCTAGTTTTTCAGCACACTTTTTTGCTGAAAACGCACCCCCCCCTCAGCTTATACTCAAGTCAGTGTCAAAATTACATGTTCTCCCCTGCAGTGCAGGTGTTCTCTGGACTCCCCCACTCATCTATGGGCGCCTGCAACCTCTGTGGGTGGTCTGATGACCGGGGTTAAGTACGCTGCATTTCCGCTTCCAGGACACTCCCATCCTCCTTCTTCTACATATTCTATGTACCCACTGTGACAGACAGGTCACACGTCACTCCTGTCTGTTAGGTTAGAGCTCTGGTTTGGGAGCCTATGACAGGACAGGAGGGGTGGAACCAACAGAACTAGGAGAGAGAAATAAAGACAGTTTGGGGACAGTTAGAGCAGTTAGGGAGTTGGACAGTTAGAGAGAAGAAGAGACAGATATATAGAGAGAGAGACTGGAAGTGTTATGAAGGATAGTTAGAAAAATATTTAAAAGTGATAAGAATTAAATAAAAAGTCTGGCTATTGTAACAGCTTGATTAAAGTGAATCTACATCAATAAGCATATCTGAAATCCAAAGCAAGTTTAATGAATAAATATTACAAGACTACACGAAACTTCATGATTTTCCTTATGTGCTTCAACTTCATATCCTTAAATAAATATTATTATAATCGACAGCATCGATTCAGTATTCTTATTTGGTACAGTGAGGAGAATATCCTCTGGTGGCAGCGTAAAAAGGAATAAAAGAAAAAAATAGTGCTCAAAGGCGAACCTAGGTGTTAGGGAAAACAAACAGGGGAGCTGTGGGTGTGCTACATAAAGTGGTGGCAGTGGTGGGATTCGAAGTGAAAAAAATCCAGTAAGTCAAGTAAAGATAAATTTTCTGATTCTGGGATTCGAAGTCAAAGAAATCCAGTAAGTCGAATAAAGATAATTTTTCTGATTCTGGGATTCGAAGTGAAAGAAATCCAGTAAGTCAAATAAAGATAAATTTTCTGATTCTGGGATTCGAAGTGAAAGAAATCCAGTAAGCCAAAGTAAACAGAAATGTTCAACGTCTGGTGGAGCCAAGCAGACGAGAAATTATCGTCTGGTGATGGTACTCTACACCCACCTTCCTCCTCCCACCTTCCTCCTCCATCCTCCGTCTCCCTCCATCTTGTTATGCAGCAGTAGAGAAGTAGATAAGCACAGCATCCGGTAAGAGTCCTCCCTCTGCAGGCAGTGAAGTGTGTCTTGCAGCTCAGAAGGGCAGTATCTTCAAAAACATTTAACCTACTGGCACCTCAATAAATGTAATTTTATTGGTATCTATTTTTATTTTTGAAATTTACCAGTAGCTGCTGCATTTTCCACCCTCAGCTTATACTCGAGTCAATAGGTTTTCCCATTTTTTGTGGTAAAATTCGGTGCCTCAGCTTATATTTGGTTTGGCTTATACTCAGGTATATACAGTAATTGGTTGTTTGCTTTTTTTATACAACAGTACAACAGGTAAATTCATCACTCAGATGAAAAGAGATACCTATTGGGGTTGCCACATATGCTCATAATTAGAAGTTCAAAACAATTCTATTATTTAAAAAAGAATGGCGTTAGAACAAGAAATGGCATCCCTCACACCCACAGATGTTAGGCACATAGTGCCAATATTTCAATTATTAGACATCAAAATAAAGAAAAAAAAACAAAGACAACACAAACTATTTCAAATGCAAATAAGACAGAATCAGTTCTACACATGAGCTGAATGCTGACAGAGAAGGCAAGACAGAAAAGCAGTCAATTTATTCAGCTTATTTTTTTTTAATAGCAGAGGAAACCTCATGGTATCTTCCCCCCAAATGCTATGAATCATCTAGCTTCCTGACAGCCCTGCAACTGCACTAAATACACACACGGCACCTGGATAACAAAAAAAGCTTTCTCTTTTACACTACAGTTACAGTTTACGTGTTGAACTGCATCATGGCAGGAATTGATGCCTGCTTCCTCAGGAAAGCGAATGAAAGACAAATGTCACACTTTCAGGATTTTAGAATGAGAGTTGCAAATTTGCCCATGCTAGGCTAAGGTCAGATGAACAACATAGTTAGAAGAACACTGCTGAGCATACAGAATCAAATGAATTCCAGAGTATTGCTGTTCAGATAAGGTTAACTCATACAGGATGCTCTGCCCACAAGACCACTGGACAGCTTAGATGCGCACGTCCAGTGTAAGATGTGAGGTACCTGATTGCCAATGCAGCTGCTCCAACTGTATGCCTCACGACTGGGCTGGGAAGTGAGGGGAAAAGCAATGTATACATCAGGAAAACTCCAGTTCATGCTCCTGCAACTACTTTTAACCAAAGTGGGAGGTGGAGAAAGTGCATGTACCCTGTTTTCTCGAAAATAAGACCTAACCTTAAAATAAGCCCTTCTATGATTTTTTCAGGATGCTCATAATATAAGCCCTACGCCAAAAATAAGCCCCAGTTAATTGAAACCCTGGCCTCCACCATTGTGCAGCAACCAGAAGATGATGACATGACTGTGTTTGAATAACTGTAGGTTGCTGTACATGAAAAAAAATCCCCTGAAAATAAGCCCTACTGCAAATTAATATAAAACCCTGTCTTATTTTCGGGGAAACACACTATGAGCTACATGAAGGCATTTGGAGTAGACCAGTTCAGTCCAGCAAAAAATGGCAGGGGGGCCTTCTCAAACATAAAAAAAAAACACCCCAGCAGGAGACATTTGAATACTTACAGTTTTGATTTTGTACATTTTAATTTTAAATTGTTTGACTGACAGATTGATTGTATTTTCAGTCCTGATGCAGCACATGGCAGATACTGTGGGTGAAAAAGTGGCCCTCTGGGCCTTGCCAAAGTTATCACAAC